TTCTTCTCCCTGCCACTGAATTCAGGGGGGACGGGGGGTAGCAAAAGCAGCAACAGCTCAGCTGCTGCACCCCAGCGCCCCATGGAAACTTTGCAGCTGGAAGGGGAAAGGCAGCAGAGACCCATTCTCGGCCACTGCATCCACGCACCACGCGGGACTGGCTACATCCCCTAAAAATAAAAACAAGCTAATTTCAGAAAAGCCCCATAAGCTCAGGGGCAGAGCAAATCCCACTCCCACTGTGACACTGGTAGGTCACTGGGAAGCGCAGGGAACCGAGTTACAGTACAGTGCTGCCAGCTGGGCAGTCTTCATTTGTCCTCTCCTCCCATGGGCCGAAGAGCCCACAATCCCCTCACCAACACCAGGAACCTGGGAACCTGCTCCTTACAGGTTAATGCTCATCCACCCCAAGGCCCGGTGCTGAGCCAGGCACCTCAGCGCTCAAGTCTAGTCCAGTCCAGGCAGTTTCAGTCCCTCCTCTGCCATGCACAACAAGTCCTTAGCAGGTGTGACTTTTTATACCAAAAAAAAAATGCAGAAAAAAAACCTGAACATTACTTTGCATTTAGAAGCCTAAAATTACTAAACATGTGATGTATGTTTGCCTTTCTAACACTAAAAATGCTGGATATTAGGATATGCCAAATATAGAACCACAACAACACATTTCTATGCAGCTCTCAGCCCATTTCTGATATCAAGATCTGGCCCATTTGTGTGAAAAAGAAAAAGGTTGAGCACCGCTGGTCTAAAAAGCGGGCAGGGAAAAGCAACGGGGGCCGGGAGCGATTAGCCAAGGACAACGACACAGCAGGTTGGTCACCAAGTCAGGAAGATGCTACTCCATGTCTCTCCTCTCTGCCCAGTGTCTTCTCCCCAGGCCACACTAGGAAGTTCGGGATGCTACCCACCAAGGGTGTACAGACATGTATAGAGAGCGAGGTGAAGCGAAGCAGCTCCCCTGTTCCCATGAATGAAAAAAGCTGAGTCTCGGCAGAGAAAATCCCTTGGGGACTAAAAGGAAAAAAAATAGCTCACCAGTGGGAAGAGAGCACATACGATCAGAGCAGAGGTCCACTGGATTTCGGTGGCCTTTGCTGCCCATGAACCCAGAGGACAACAAAGTCACATCATTGTAATTCCCCCACTTCGAGAACAGGAAAAAAAAAAATCTTAACATCACGCCCTAGAGAGAGACCAAGATTTACCAGGAGCCTACCTACCAGCCGAACACTCGCTGGGAAGTTGGGTACCAGCCTCCTGTG